CTTCGTTTTGAATCGCTTTATTTCTCAAAAATAAGCTAGAAGAGTCCGTGCGTAATAATAGACTTTTAGTAAAGAGATTTTTAAAAAACTTATTCGATATTCATCGAGAAACTTGTAAAAAAAACCTCAGTTTTTTTCTCCGATACGTCCTATACGTATGCATATATTTCAGAGTGCACATATTTTTTATGTTTAAATTTGATATTTCAATGGAAAATAATATTTCCCGATATAAATATTTGCGAGCTCTAAAATTCATGTGTATTCTATGTTACGTGTGTATTATAGCTGTTATATTTTTTTCTCTTTCTGATAGTTAAACTAAATTTTTCACTAAGCTGTTGCTTATTTACGAAAATGTGAACAGAAGCGTAATAGAAGCGTTTAATAAATAAAAGAATTTCCCTCTTGATTGGCGTTTTCGTGACACGTCGGACGATTCTCGTCTTTCGCATAAAGAAGTCTGTCCGGCAGTGGTTTAAGAATTCAGGCCGGAAGTGCACACAACACAGGAGTCGCAGCTTTCGAAGACGCGATCGTAAAACGTCCCGCCAGATCTCTGCCGTTTCCTGATCCCCACCTTGAGTATCCCTCGCCCAGTAGCTTCGCCGAGGCACTAACGAGCGCTTCTAGTCGACGAGAAAGTCCAGCGGCGCCTGTGCGCGGCAAACCTCAGCGAACTGAATTCTGTGGGTATACTTTGTATAAACGAGACGCGTCCGTTAGGAAATATTGAGAATAATTGAAATTTCTCTCTCGTAACTTACGCATTATATATCCCTTTCTACAATCTGAAACCACGACATTGATTGTTTCAATCAAAAATACAAAATTATTTTCTGTCTCAGAGAAAATTCTTCCTTCCACACGCGATGAATTTTTTTAGAAATTTTATATGCGAGGTATCGAAATGTATTATCATTAAAAATATGTATACATACATAAATGATTCTGCGACCTATTATCAAAAGAACTTTTACAGGATAGGAAAGCTATTATAGTGACGCTAAAACGTGCACAGTGTCATATTTTGAGACAAGGAATGCAATGAAAAGTAATGAATTATAATAAATGCTAGAGAGAGAGAGAAAAGCTGTAAGATTTTTAAAATAGACCGTTGTCTTCTAAAATTTTAAAACTGTACTGAGAAAAATGAGTCTGATTGTACTAATTGGAATTCCAAAAATGAACAAAATTTTTGATTAAATCTGCTAAATTCAGATAATCAGAATTCTGCTTGATATAATAAGAATCTTTCAATTCGTTCAATTTCAACTAGACATTTTTCTCAATATACGGTCCACTTGATGCCACAAATGCTTCGAAGCACTTTTTCATTAATCAATCAATCAAATTCTTTCTTTTAATTGCTCGATCAAACGTTTCGAAGCATTTGTAAGTACCAAGTGGACTGCACCCTTCAAAGATTAACGAAAATCAAGTCGGAACAAACATACATTTAATAATAAAACTATCGAGGACTCGTCTGCAATATTAAAACGAAGTGGCGAGGGAAAAGGCAGAGAACTACCGAACGCGGGCGGAAGCGCGCAACGTCTCTCTCGTGCCAAATTCTAAATTCCCTTCCACCTCACGGTCGTTTTCGCGGCCGTCAGCCGTGCATGCGCGCCCCGCGTTCGAATAAGGCGTGCTCGCGTCGCCACGGCCTCGTCGAGTAAGCAAGGACATTCATTGGCCACAATTCATCCGTCGTGCCGTGCCTAGCCAATCGTAAACTCGACCGATGCTTTTCCCCGTGCTGGAGTCGCAACCGCCGTCGTCGTCGCCATCGTCGTGCCACTCACGTTAGCGACTTGCGACGCGCACCGATATCGGCGCCGTGATACACGCGTATATCGCGTGCACGCTAGCTAGATACACACGATATATGCGTGGAGCGCGGATTTGACTTGAGCGGCGGCGGCGACGCGCGGCCGTTTCCGTGCTTGGCAAAGTCCGCGCATTCTCGCGCGCCGTGTCCCGCTGGCCAGTTAAAAGTCGTCTCTACGCCACCCGTATATACGACTTAGCCACTCTCTTGCTCCGTGGCATCAGCCGTGGCTTTAACAACGACTGGACATTTCGCCGGTCGATGGAATCGTCAACGGGGAATCCCAGCTCGCGCGCTTCGTCAGGATACATATTTGAGGCGGCGTTCCATGTCGATCTCATGCATTTGTACATTTTACATCCTGTATTGTATAATAAAGAAACTTTAGTTACCATCGTTTTCCATTGATCACGCGTGGAGGTTTTCCTTGATAGACGATCGAATAATTTCGTTCGGGATATTACGAAAATGAAATAATTTAGGACGAGAGATATTCTGATAAACTTATTTTGCGATTTCAAAATTTTTCACGAAAGTTCGCATCGATTCGGAAGCGTTATCGAGTTTCTAAAAGCTCGATAAAGTGCTATACAATAGACTACCGCGTCGAAAGATAAAGTTTCTTAAAATTGTGTGAAAGGAAACAGGGAGAATATCATCTAGATACATATCTATCTTTATGAGATTCTGTTTTTTCTCGCGGTTTAATAAGTTAAAGAAGCGCGCCGGTACACGATATTCGCGAGGCTACGCTGAAAATATCTACTCCGACGCCCCGCCATTTCCACCGTCGCCGTCGCCGTCGCCGTTGGCGTCGGCTGCGTCGGCTGAGTCGGCTGAGTCGGCTCCGAAGAGAAACCGAGCTCGGCGTTACGAAGCATGGTTACGAGTCGGCTCGGAGCCGCGTCGTCGGCGTGCATGTAGCAACCGCTCGCTCTCGGTCTCTCCGCTGGAGAGACCTCGAAGCCCGCGCGCTCTGCCTCGCGGCCGCATACGGAATGACGCGCAAAATTCGTGGAATTGGCCGACGCGGGGAGGTCAGCCGATCGTAGAACGACGGCGCACGTCCTCCGGCGTCCTTTCGCCGTCGCGGCGTCCCGATGACGCGCCCCTTTTACCCGATAGGGAATAAAAATGTTCCCGGTGAATTTTCT